GAATGCAGTTGTTGTACTATACTTAATTCAAAAGATTGTTTTGAAACAACATTTTGCCCAGGTTTAGTACACCCTTCAGACAGCTTGCAAAGAACAGAAAGCACTCAGGAAAAGTCCGCGAGATTTCAGTGTGTTAAAAAACTTTCCCTGCAGTAAGGCAATTTGAAACTTGGTTTGTTTCAATTTTTCAAAGGGCAACTGGCACTACTCAAGGTTCCTCTTTTAGAGAAAGGTTTTTAACAACCAAAGAGAACTTTATACCAGCACAGAAAGGCACAGTATCCAATGACTTACTAAAACTGTAAAACCAAGGCAAACTTCCCTCTTATCCTCTTAACAGTGAGGAAAAACTAGACCGAAACACTTTTATCCAGAAATATGGTAGATTCTTCATACTTTAATATTTCAATCAAAATCTCTTTCAAAAATATCCTTTAGCTTAAATATAAATGATAGACTTGATGCTGGAATGAGTGGGATCTACATTAGGATATCAGAAGATGGAGCCAAAAGTCCTTTCTGAAATTCAAAAAATTCTGAGTTGCCAATAATGCCTAAAATTATTAGCTCTTCTATTTGCACTGTAAGCCAGTGCTGTGAACTCTCTCTCCTCTCCTCTGGTAAGTTTAGAGCAATGCTCTTGCAATTCACTAGCTAAGAATCCAAGACAAGAGAGCTCTGCTCTTTTTTGCTTGTCTGCCTATCCAGATAGTCGCTATTTTTCTCCAATTTGCTTTCCCTTCTGAGGGTGATCTTGTTGCTTTGCCAGGAGCAAGTGCCACATCTTTGACTGAATCATTAGCAACCACCTTAGGGAATCCATCAACTCCGGAGGCAAGCCAAGGAGATACTGTAAAGAAAACTCTGGACCACAGCTCAGGATGGTATTTGGTCTAAGTGCAACATATTTACAATGACACGCTCATCTCTATAGAGAACTCAATTACATACAAATAGTTAAAAGTTTCATGAATTCTTCTAAGGGAAAACAAGCTTTGAACTTAGGCAATTAAGTAAAAATGGAAATTACTTACAGTTGTTTGGTTTTAAAATACCAAAAAACCCAAAAAGTCTGCAGAGTAGCAATGTTTACTCTGCACAAAATGTTATTCTTTCCTTTAAATCCACACAGCCATGGCATTCTTTTATTTTAATTGGTCAGCTTGCCATTTCAGAATGAATTGAGTGAAGCAACATGAAAGTCTAGATACACACGACAAACTAATACGATTATTAACCAAAAGCCAGCTGATGGAAGGAAATGGAGAACAGGGTCTGTTCAAGCATCAGTCTTGACTGGCTCAGACTAACGTATTAGCAAGTTTCCAAAAGCAAAATGCTCCTGTTGTCTCTCACACAGGCACCAATAGGTAGAATTAAGTTTTGGTAACAGGAAATGATGAGTGTCCTTTGCTGCTGGTTTCTTAGGTCTCTATTGTGCAAGCTACTATTTTTTCATAGCAATAAAATACAAATTACAAGTAAAGAACTTATCTGCAGATGGTCTTACAGTCTGAAAAGTTACCAACTTATTAACAGCTCATAATTTCTCCAGTATCTTAGTGTCAGAGCAGACTGCACTGGTGAGAAAGTTGTAGGGTTTGGCTTTTTTTATGGTTGGAAAGCAAAACAGAACTAACAACAACAAAAAAAGATTTATCATCTCTGGAAGAGAAACCCAGTTGACTTTAACCTGGCATCTTTAAATGTGCTATCTTGATATCATTGTGTTTTGTAAGATCAAAGAGTTTTGCGTGCTTAAAGCCTGCCACCTAGTGCTTCAAAGGACAAATTCTGGGAAGTAGCAACAGAAAATGCACTTTATTCATTCCATCTTCAGGAAACACCAGCATTATTCAGAAAAGAAAAAGAAAGTGTCTTCTAACTCTAGTTTCTCTCACTTCTATTTCTCATTCCCTTGTATCTTGGAGGAAAAAATAGGTGGTTTGCCCCTATTTTTAAATGGGATTTCCAAAATCGGCAATTCTACATTTCCCATTTTTAATGATTGATGAAAATTTCCAATTACAATGTCTTTGGATTTTTTTTACTATTATTTTTTTATAGCATCAAAGGAACTTTTGAAATTTTAAGCCAGTCAGGAGACAGAGGTCCTGGACTGCCCATGAAAAAACTCTCCCCAGGATATGCACTTTTTGGGTTCTTCAGCACTGCATGAAATAAACAAGAAAAGAGAACCAGGCCAGAAAGAAATTAAGTGTCAAATGGTATCATATAGCTTTGAGTCTGAAAAAATTAAGTCCCTGCCTCCAGCCATGCAGGGATATGGCCATGAATTATCTACATGGGGATGCAGTGGGATCCTATGGCCTGGGAAGAACAGTCACAAATGATTATGACTCAAAATAACCCTTGTCAGGAGCTCCAGCTGATGACTGTAGCTGGGCTCACCGCTCTCTGGAGAATGAGAAAAAGTGCCTCTGGGCATGAAAATGCAGAGGAAAGAGAGATAAAGTCTGGGTTCCAGTTGACACCCCTGGTTCCCCTCCCGACAGTCTGCACGGCACAATGGGGTCAGTGAGGAGCTAGTTGGCTCTCACAGTAAACAGCCAGTGAGGCCAGTGCTTTTTATCGATGCTAAAAGGACTCAGACACTTCCTGCCATTTAATCCAGGACCATTTTTCTTTCAAAGAACAGGAAAAGCCTCAAGAGATTCCCACAGTGATCGCAGCTGAGCCTGCTGCCAGGGTACTGGGAACGCTGAGACTGGGAGAGGATAGATCAGGGTTAGAAGAGAGATATCCCCCAGTTCTTCTTGCTGCCCATTTACCACAGACCTTCACACCACCCATTCCATCTGACACTTGCTAGACTTCAGCCTTGTGAATGGTTCCTTCAGCATACCAGTTGCTTTCTGTAATGCACTGTGCATGCTTCTGCACATATAAACACAGCTGTATGTGGTGGTATGTGCCCTTTCCTCTCAGAGTATGTTTAGGTTTGAATGCTACCTTCCACCTAATTAAAACACAGCTGTGCAAAATTACTTCTCTTTAAATCCACTTTTAGTTCAAACATCTCCTAAATGCAGGTAGCTTTACACACACACTTATCCCAGCCACCTTCTCAACCAAATTCTTTGTTGTGCTTTGACAACAATTCGCCTAACCTTGCACCCATTCAGTCACTCCTGTAAGCTTCTTGCACCCCATCTTTATTCCTCTACAAATTTTTGCTGATGACAAAGTCATCATCTTAAAGTGGAAATCTTCTGAAGAGAATGCAGCCCTCTCTCAATGTTACATCTGCTACTTTCTTCATTTCTCTATCCATGCATCCACCTTAATTTATCCCTTCACTATTTCCCTCCTTTCTGCTATGGTGATTCATTTCCTGTTCCCAAATAATTGATAATTCAACGAAACCCTGAAGAAACTATAAAATCATCAACAGAACACTATAGTCTAGTGAGAGCTTATGAAAAACAGCTTCTCCATGCACGTGCTTCAAGCGACTCCAAGTACTTATGAGGTACCTTTTTAAACCTGACTGTAGCAAGCAAAAGGCCATTTTCCTTTTACTGTACTAACTTCCCCTGCCAAACATCCTTGACCCAAAAGGGTCTGGGAATAACTTAGCATCTGGCAGTGTAAGCTGTTTTTCCTCTTAGCTATCTCTCAGATCTCTAGTACTTTCTGCAGAAATCTGCTCACTGTTCAGGACCATCTTCCGACAGCCACAATGTGCCTGCCCCATGGAATTCACTGCAGTACTGGCAATAAAATTCTAGCAAATCTTGCATTACTTCAGTCTAATTCTAGGAAAAAAAATGAAGTATATTTACTTTACTAGTACATTGGTACATTTTCACCCACTCTACCAGGAAATATGAGTAAGTCCTCTTTATTCCAACTGAAACTCTGTAAATCCCACAACACATGCCTTCTTTCCCAAGCCAATTTCCTCTAACTTGGTCCCCAAACCCATCCTTCTCACTGTACACTGCTACAAGTAACTTTTCTCTTTCCACTAGGAAGCCTAAGAAAAGATCTTTTAGGACAATAAGAAGGCCATCCAACACACTAAGAGACTAGGTATGACTGTTACTTTTCCTGCAATCTTTCTATCTCCAACCTCAAAACAGTGTTTGGTTGTGTGCTTACAGTCATTTGGGGGCTGGCATGCTAGGAGGGGTTTGTAAGCACTGGAAAAGTTTGCGTGAGGCTTTTTCAGTATCCATAGACAGCTTTACTGCAGACAGAGGATGTGAAATCACAGTGTGTTTTAAGATACCAGGGTTAACTTTCACTCAGGAGGAAAAACAAACACATAAACACACAACCACCCCCTCATAAAGCCCATAACCAAGCGTAATTACCACCAAAGAACAGATGTCTTTATTTATCTCATCTCTGTTACATGACAACCTCCAAACTTACCTGGTATCCTGATAAAAGACCAGCCATTCTGAGGCCTGATCCCTAACAGCCCTCCTGGATACTCTGGGAAGAACTGGGAGGATTGCTTCAGCCAGTCAGCTGCTAGCTCAGGGGCTCCATTGAGTACACACTGCTTTGCTTCCAGACTTCCTCCTTCCTTCAGTGCCCTGCGCTCATACTCTGCACTTCGGTCATTGCAGTAGAACTCCAGAGGCACAGCTGTTACCTACAAGTAAAATAATCATCAGTATTCTTGTTCAGATTTCCCTTCATCCCCAAATCCCCAGTTCAGGTACCTTCCCATAGGATCAAATATTAAGAGTGAAACAGTTACTCACATGTACAAATGGAAAACAATCTTACACCAGGCTTAAAATAAGCAAAGATGCAACATCCCCCCATACCACAAAAGAAGTCCTGTGAACAACCAGGCACAGCCTACTTGCCTTTTGATAAACAATGCCTCATGCCAATTGCCATAAAACTTATAGCAAAGCTGAAAGTAAAAGAATACTATCCTTGCTGCACCTTTAATTTTTGCCCTTCACAATCAAGTGTTTACCTAGCAGAGATGAGATTTACATATTGTCCTTAACAGAAACTCATGTGTTAATTTAAAATTAGGAAGATACATAATTTAGAAAGGAAAACGAATGAACAAGGAAATAGCCCTGTTTTAGAACAGCACATTTCTCGGGCTTGACAGCTGATCTGTAGAGAAGTGGGCCACAGGAACAGCGCCAGGGAGCACAGGGTGATTTTTTTCTTCTGGCCATTCTCTGAATTCCTTGCCCTATTACCTGCTTTAGTATATACAACCCAGCTGGACAGACCAGTGTTGCAAACACAGCAACTCTGATTTCATGCCATGTGAGCTATTCTGGAATGGCTCCATCATCACTTTAACTCCCTCTGCTCTGCCACGTCCACTCAAAGCTGTACAGAAAGTAGAAGGTCCGTGTTAGCCAAACAGCTATACACCAATGGCTGTAATGTCCTTAAGTAAGGAGTCTGTTCCAGCAGACAGAGCTGTCCTGTGTACAATCCAGAGCTTTCTCTTATCTCAGCCATACCAGGGCAAGGGACAACTTCAAGATACTGCAGTAATAAAAACCAAAAGTGGAACTGAGCCATGGTACACACTACAACAGCCTGGGTTTTAGTTTTGATACTTCACATGATCCAAAGTAAATACAAGTAGAACACTTTCACACAAATATAAATACACAATTCACTTATCCAGCACAAGAATCATTCCAATAAAATGCAGATCATCAACTTCTTTCTAAGAAGTAAGTCTGAATGTAAGTCTGTTTTGGGCCAACATTCTGGGGTGTTTCCAAAAGCTATTTATAAGCAAGTTTAGAAAAGAAAACTAGTAGAAACTTTCACATAGTACCTACAGGCTTAATAATGTGTTGTAAACTCATCTAAAAATGCAACTAAAATTTAGTATGAGACAATTAACCTTACAGTATGGGCTTATAACAGAGAGAAGTTATACATTTGCAATGCTTTGTAGGTTTCTTCACCAACATAGGAAGCAAATATATCAAAACCAAAAAAGCAGACAAAATCTTGGCAATAATGGTAAAGCCATTGTTTTGCAAGATGCCAAGAACTATTTTTAAAACCAGTCTCGCTTATAGGTCTATACATACAGCCACGTGAAACACTGCAAAGCGAAACAGACTGTGTTTAAGACTTTGTACACATTTCCACCATTTAAAATACACTACTGAGAGTTGATGCTATCTTGTACTGCCACCTGCAGTCAAAACATAGGACTGACTTCTGGAGGAGATGGCAAAATCTCTCAATTCAAAACGCAACTCCAACTCTCACAGCCTGTCTCCATAGGAGAGCTGCTCCAGCCCTCTGAGCATCTTCGTGGCCTCCTCTGGGCTTTCTCCACCAGGTCCAGTCCCTCTCGTTTTGGGGCTCCCAGAGCTGGATGCAGGACTGCAAGTGGGGTGTCACAAGAGCAGAGGAGAGGGGGAGAATCACCTCCCTCTACCTGCTGGACACACTTCTTGTGATATAGCCCAGCATACAGTTGGCTTTCTGAGCTGCAAACACACACTGGGATCTATTGAAACTAAACAATATTGCTCGAAACTGAATTAGTCAGCTTCCTAATCAGAATACAAGATCCATCCTCCATGCTAATTTTTTGTGATTGAAACATATCTGTACCCCAGAAAACTGCCTGCATAGAAAGAAAACTACAACACTGACGTGCCCCTCACCATCCCATAGCTGCTACATAAACATGTGCTCCTATTTCTATCATTCGCTCCATTACCTTCCCAAAATTCATCACAGGTCAAATGACAACAGAAGGCTATAGTTTCTGAGAACATATGTGCCCTTTTTGCTGTTTCAGGTCTTCTGCACTCCTGCCAAAAGTTACTAACAAGCATAAAATTAAGTCTTTGTATTCCTAGAAACAAAAAGCTGTGCTTCCACTTAATCATTTTTATACACCAGCCAAGCCAAAACAAGTAACTTTTATTCACTAGAATAAATGTCAGAGATGATCTCTCCTCGCCCTTCCCTTCCCCTTCATACATAGCCTTCTAAGCCCCTTCTCCTCCCTTCCTGATGTAGGGGGAAGTATTCAACATATTCTTCATCTGCAATGCAAATTTAGGTACGAAGAGTGACAAATCAAAGGAATCTGAAGGAGAAGTGGCTTTCACAATTTACTCTCAGAATAATTGCTTGAACCAGGTAATCATAGAATCATAAAATGGTTTGGGTTGGAAGGGACCTTAAAGCTCATCCAGTTCCAATCCCCTGCCATGGGCAGGGACACCTTCCACTAGACCAGGCTGCTGAAAGCCCTGTCTAACCTGGCCTTGAACACTGCCAGGATGGGGCACTTAAACACTTCCAGGGATGGGAATATGTTGTGACCAGGAGGTGATGTGTGATTTTGAGAAGTTCAGTTTGGATTCCTGGGCAGACACAATTCCTGTGGCTGCAGACACAAATGAATTCAGCCTGAGCAACAACAGAGTCCTACTTGCCATCTACCCTTCTCCAGATGCATATGTGTAACTGCACGAGGGCCCATTTGGTCAAGCCTACAGCAGTAGCATCAACAGTGAGTAAAGAGTGTAACATCTGGATGGTCTGGTAATAAAAGTATGTTTTGTCCAGCTTTGTCAAGATCCAGCAACATGGAATACAATAGCCATAGACCTACAAAGGTCTCTTGTGTCAGCCCAGGAAATTTCAGCTGAAGTAATTTCAAAATTCACTTGATAGGTGATGGACAATCCTAAGCAGTACCACTTAATAGCCAAAAGATTTAGAAAATGCCAACTCAAGTAATTCCTACACAGTGCAATTTAATGTTTCCTTTCTGGCACATAAGCTGATGCAATGAGAGAAAACTAACATCCTTTTCAAAAAAGCATTGCTCCTCAGCTCCCTTTTGTCATCAATGTTGACCAAACAATCACTCCATTCTGTTCATAGCGTATCTTCATCTGTCCCTTAGATTACTGGGGAATAATCTACTTAATCTCCTTTGTAACTTTACTTCTTTTGGTATTAGGAGAGAAAGTGAAATCTTATGTATCTCAGAATAACCCCTGTTAGGTGCATCTTAGAACTCTCCTTTTCCCTTCAAGACACATTGCAGTCACTTCCCCTATGAAAAAAACCACTATTGAATACAGTAGCAAAAGGATATCCTCACAACAGTTTTACCCAACCAAAAGAAAGTAATAGATCATCCTGTTCCTAAGACACAATTCTAACAAGATGTAAAACACAATAGAAAATACATCATTTACAACTTAACTTGGGACTTACCCGTGGACTGGCTATGCACAGGAAGGACGGCAGCTCAGTCACCTGGCAGCACCGTACACATGAGGTAGCTGATCTCCTTCGATGTATGACATGATCTGAATAGCCAGTAACTGCTTTACAGTGGCTGCTGAACACAAGGTTCTGAAAACAAAATTAAAACTAATAAGTTATTACATCTATGAAGAAATACTCCTCTTAAATCTTGTAACCACCCATGAGACAGACAAAGGACACTGACCAAGTATTTCTCTTTGTAAAAGGAAAACATTAATCGTCTGCAGTGAGAATATATAGGATCTTGGTGTAATTATCAGAACATTCAAATCCTGAAATGGTTGAAATCAAAACAGCTCATACCAATACTTGCATTTATGCTCAGCTGGAACCAGAAACAAGCTTTAGCTTCTTTGAACCTTTTGACCTCAGCTTTTATAATGAAAGAAGTACAGGAATATTCTAGAAGGTCTGATCCTCAAGCTGTTTTCTAGCTAATCCTTGATCTATTCTGAAGCATAAGTAAAATGAAGTTTACTTATAAATGAAATTTAACAGAGAAAAAAGATTAAGACTCTAAATGAAACTAGATCGGTATCTTTGGACTTGCATCTTTTCTAACCTTTTCTTCCTTTCCTGAGCAAAATGGCTCTGAATTTTAACCTGAGTACTTTCAAGATGGTAGCATGGTTACTCACACACATGAACACAGCAATGTGTAAATCCTGGAACTTACAACATGTGATCAATATCCTTTTGGTACAGAGAAACGTATTGACTCAAAAGTGGGGGCACTGAGATGCATTTTAAAGAAAGGAGAATTTTGAAGATGCAGAAAAATAATAGAAAACTGAATTTTCTAGAGCAGGTTGCTCCAAGCCCCTGTATCCAACCTGACCCTGAACACTGCCAGGGATGGGGCAGCCACAGCTTCTCTGGGCAACCTGTGCCAGTGTCTCACCACCCTCATAGCGAAGAATTTCTTTCCTATATCTAATCTAAATCTCCTCTCTGTCACTTTAAAGCCATTCCCCCTTATCCTATCAACACATGCCCCTGTAGAAAGTCCCTCTCCGTATTTCCTGTAGGCCGCCTTTAGGTACTCAAAGACTGATATAAGGTCTCCCCTGAGCCGTCTCTTCTCCAGGCTGAAGAAGCCCAACTCTCTCAGCCTGTCTTCGTAAGAGAGGTGCTCCAGCCCTCTTCCTTATGTATTATCATTATGTATAATTGTTTCCTATATTATACAGAGCATTCTGCATACTATAGGAAACAAGAAACAATTTTTGAAACATAAAAGGTATACCTCTCAGTGCCACAGGATCACAGGATGTGCCCTCCTGGCGTTTCTAGAGCAGTTCACTTAAGTAAAATGTGAACAGTAACTGAAGCTTTGACATTGTTTTGCCCCAGTTCCTAATGCACCAAAACTAATTGCATCCTACGTTCACTTTATAGAGCCTCCCAATTTTCTAAAATCCCAGTATTTGAAGTTCTAAACATCAGAGTACATGACAGAAGCAGACACCCTTGTATACAATGTCATACACTGGATACATAAATTCCTCAACGTTAAAAAAAAGATGCGAGAAAACATCCACAGCAGCAGTCTATTATGGATCATGCATTCTGGGCCCTTTCCATTTCCAGATGTAAATTCACCAGGCAAGATGCTCTGACTGAACACAGAATCACAGAATCATAGAACGGTTTGGGTTGGAAAGGACCTTAAGATCATCTAGTTCCAACCCCCTGCCATGGGCAGGGACACCTCACACTAAACCATGTCACCCAAGACTCTGTCCAAACTGGCCTTGAACCCCTCCAGGATTGGAGCATTCACAACTTCCTTGGGCAACCCATTCCAGTGCCTCAGCACCCTCACTGTAAAGAACTTCTTCCTTACATCTTCTTCCTTACATCTGCTCCTCTGTATAAAAGGTGAGAGCAGAAAGAGCTGACAATAGCCTTTCACTGACACACAGCAGGGCTAAAAAGCACAGGTCAAAGCTTGGGCCACACTGGATATGTGATCCCAAAACCAGGCTTTATTCAGCTGGCAATTCTTTACCAGTAACACTGGCTTAAGACAACTGTTTCAGATGTTCACTCCTGCCCCCACAGAGCCCCTTCTTCTTGGCTTAGCTGTCTGCCCTCATGAAGATGCTGATCAAGATGAAAACAAACCCTTGCCCCTCCACTCCAAATTAGGTTTGTGATCTGCTTCACCAGCTGGTTAAACAGGCTGTGTGCTGAAAAAAGCAGAGTAGGAAATACAAGGCTGGGAGTACACTGCTGTGGTCAACAGATATGAATGATGGCTTCTTCATCTGAGGACCAGAAGTGATGGCAACAAAGCACCAGCACTGCTGCTGAAAAGGAGGGGAATCCCTTCCATGACATTTGTGCCACTTCTTGTCCAAATTTTATCACCTGCCTATCTCTCCAGAAGCCTATTTAGCTACACATGCAATCAAAGAACAAATTCAACAGCCATGAAAATGGAAAGTTTTCTGCAGTTGGCACATATGAGGAGGCAGGATTCAGCAGCTGGGAATAAAGAAAGTACAGCAAGGATCAGAGGGGAAGAGTGACTTCCTTCCCAGCAATAGCAGGCTACCATATGGACTCAGACCAACTGCCTTTGAGGTAAGTAAGTCCACTCACTGGGGATACAACTCCTTTTACAAAGAGGAATCAGCATTGCATGCAATCACAAGAGCTTTCCAGTAAGTCTTAGGACAGCAAGTGCTGGAATACTGATTGTGGCACTGTTCACTAGAGGAGTTTGGTAACTATTTCCTGGAAAGCAAGAATACAAGAAATGGCTACCAAAGTGTAATTCCAAACCTATGCAAGTCTGTTACTTAATTCTCTTTTGGAAAACAATATCAAAGAGCCATCAAAGATGGCTTCAACCCAATTAGAAGTACCCAGGAAGAAATGTAAAGGAAAACTTCCAAGAAGGTATCAAAAATAAATGAAAAATATTACTTTTGTATATATATAGTATTAGAAGTAAGTCTTGTACACGGGCATTAATCTGGTTTTCAGCCCCACACTTCCTGTGTACAAATTATCAGCAGGTCACAAGAAACATCCCTCTCTGAATTCCCTGACATACACAGCAGTTAAGTATTCATGAACAGACACCAGATATAACAGGGACAGCAGAAACCAGCTTCCATCAGTCACATACATGGAAAAGACTGGGTAAGGTTACAGAACTGAACACAGCCACAGCTCTGAAACGGATCCTACACCTTAGTACAACAAAGCCAAGAACTCAAGAGGATTGTTACAAAGTAAGACTGTACACATCTACTACAACCCTGCAATCCAAAGACAGGGGCTTTCCCATATTGCAGAGCTGCACATAAATATGGGTGATTGCTACCAGCATCTTAAGCCCATTAACACTCCTATTTAATAGAAAGAAAAACAGGAAAGCAAAGGATAGAAGGGTTCATCTCAAAAGATCAGATTTTACATTAATTTATATCAATATATACAAATGAATACACATCTTGTAGAGGTGCTGAATAAGGGGAATGAAGAGACCTCTCACTACTTTCTGTTTATGTAAAGAAACTCATACTATATTTAGACAGATGTTACCTCAATTTCCGAAAGATCCATTAAAAATAAAGGTGTTTTTTTGTCTACTGACTTATTTTCATAGTTTGTCTCCTATATCGGAAATGCTGATCTGAGCAGTTAAGAAAAGCCTTTCCAGATTTATACCATTTCCTTTTTCCTCTGTTTCTCTTACACGTTACTATCTTATGAAACCCTAGAGAAAGCCTCAGGGAATTTAACATTGACAGTTTCCCAAATTTGGGCTAAGATAAAAAAGTGAGTTCATTTTTACCCATGAAAGACAGGCATGTAAAGGGCAGTTTGTTTTGCACCCCTTTTTTAAAAGATGTTCTACATGTAAGGTGTGAAAACAAAATTCTGCAAACACAGCTTATTTTCAAGTGACTTCAGGTGGTACTTTGTCTAACATGCAGGTTAGAAAACAGATCTAACTAAAGAATCTGTCAGAATTGTAGGGCTAAATTTCCTTTAGATTTAATGGGGTTATCACAAATGTCCTGTATTGCACGCACTAATGAACTCTGCTTCTCAGCTGGCTGTAAAAGGTAGAGTTACATCAGTCGATAGTTACACATAGTCACAGCACTGGGACCTCTGAGATGCAAGGAATAACTTCCTCAAAGAAAAGAAATTATTTGGAGAACCAAATTACATGTTTAAGTCATGCCAGGTTGTGGCACAGTTGGGTCTGTAGCTTATCCATATGCTTTACATTTCATTTTTAATATTAAAACCTACATGTGCACACTCCACAGTTCATATTTAATATCTATAACATCAACTCACATTCTGTTCTCTAAGAAAATTTACCAACTTTCATTTTTTAATATTTATACACACTAACCCAAAGGCTATACAAAGATCTAGACTGTCTTTCTACATATGTAAAAATGAATGCTACCTTCTGTAATGGCATATGACTTCTTATACCATCTTCTACTCCTTTACTGTTAGGCTGCAACACTTATGATGCCACACAAGTTCTCCTTAACCATACCAAGGAGATGACAGGGCTACAGTGCAGTTTCAGAGATAAGCATTACACAGTCACTATACCAACAGCTGAATGTAATCCCAAAAAGCTAACTGAAAGCAAATTCATATAGCACAGACATTTTATTAAGCTAGACATGGAAACAGAGAATATTCAAACACCAGCACAGCCAGAGTTAACTGGCATACACGCTCAGTTGGCTTGCTCTTTGTTTGATAACTAGGAGGACTCATTTTGTTGGCTTTGCTGTTAACGTTGCAAAACATGACACCAAGTCCAAGGCTGGTTTCCTACTGCTTACGCGTCTTCAATTTCAACTTCCTCTACACGCTATTCAATTGAATTCTGGCTATCTCCTTTCCCCTTCCAGACTCATGAACAGAAGCAATATTCCCTAGAGAAATTTGGCACAATCTCTCTGTTTCAGAAGAGGTTTTTTTACTGCGTATCTGCTAACTGCCCCAGATGCTTTCCTGACTCTGTACTAGCACTTTTGTGAACTTATTCCCCAGTGAAACAAATCAATGGAACTATAGCCTAACTCAGGAAATCCACAGCAATTTAGTCATAAAAAGACAAAACCTTCACACACATCCCAGGCAAAAGATTAGAGAAAATGACCTTGCATTACACAGTAAGATGAAAACATCTGGAGTCTCTCAAACAGCAGCAGAAGCAGATTTCAGAGTAGAAAGACACCATCAACAATGCTTGTCCACCAACTCTGAAACACTGCTGGGGTGAAGTCTCTGCTTTCCCCAGTGCTGCAACAACATACTGAATTTGATCTGTTTCAGTAAGAAACCAAGCACCTTACATGTAGAAAACGTTACAGAACTCTTAAGCTAACATGTAGAATCCATCCCTGATAAATGGTAAATCAGGTTCTGTTGCTTCAGTAATATCTTTAAGAGTTCTGATTCAACTGATTTATTCTTCATAGCAAGTTTCGAAATGCATCACACCACATGGGAGGAAGATAGTAGTTAAAATTACTTCTCTGTTCAGCACTCTTGAGCTTTATTAACTGTATGTAATAAAGCAGACAATAAAATCATCCTGCTTCCAAGGTTGTTTTCCCCAGTTGTATAAGGATAGAAAGGTTTTAACCATTTCTCACTCATGAGGATTTGCTACTGTCTCCACAGCACAAGAATGTTGCTTACCTGCAGCAAAGTGCAGCTGTGCAAGTTAGGTTTTTGGGAAATTTACATCAAGCAAGAAATCCCTGTTCCTCAGAAAACATGACCCCTGCTGTTTCTCCCCTTCGGTTTCCACCCAGAAGCGCGTGTGATGGAGCCTGTAGGATGCTTTCAGAGACAGGAAAAGAGCTAACCACCTGAAACAGAACACAGTACACTCATTCAATCATTGCTTTGTGAAAGAAAAAGGCTTTGAGTATATTTACAACATAACAATTTGATGCAAATGGTGGGGTTTTTTTCAGAACATCAGGCTTACAGTGTCCTGACTTCAAGAAATATTTTTTGCTAGACATTTTCCAATTATATTACTCTTATTTTTTCCTAAGGTGGCTTAACTGAATCAAAGTGATTAAATCAGAATAAACTACAAAGCACTTAGCTTCAAAGGCTGCAGTTTGAGTTAGCCACTACTACTAAAAGTTGCACTCTGACTTCTCTGTTAATTGCTCCATATATAAATTATTCATAATCTGCATAATGAATGCAGTATTTATCATAAAAGATAATTCAGACACAGAGAAATTTGTATTATGTTACTGAAACAGACAAGAAACACTAGCCCCAAATTGCCAAAACAATAAAAGAGTATCACACTTCCAAAGCCCTAAGCAAAACACATTTAATAATAAAGACTTGCTTTTAATCTCAAATTTCTTACAGTCACTAACTTCAGAGTACTGCCCATTGCAGAGTACACTATAACTTAAACTTACAGTTCACAATGCTAAAATTCCATTCCTCTAAGCTTATGCCTTGGAATTCCCTTACCAGGAATTCCACGAGGAATACCACTAGGTATGTGGAAAATAGACAATACGGCTCAGAGCTGAAGAACTGTCACAGCACAAGTATATTCCACGTGTGTTAAAACACAAGCTCAAGAGCAATTGGTAAGCATTGCAATAAGCTGGCCTTCAGAAGTATGGATTTTGCACTTGCTAATGCCAGCAACCTACAGTATGATAAGTAAACTCTTCTGTTGCCCTTTGGCAGCCTTGTGTATTTACAGTGGCAAATCTTTGTAACAGAAGTTTTCTTTTGAGAGAGACATAAAATTTGCCTTTCATAATGGTGCCCTGTATTAGATAACAATAGACAATATTAGTGTAATATTAGGAGGCATAGAAAATGCACGTGTACAGAGAGATGCCTCTAACATCACCTGTATTTTTCCTACAATTACCAAAAGGAAACAACCACTCCCCCCCCCCCAAAAAAAGTTGTCCTCACCTGGCTAAATGTCCCTGATTCATGAGGTTTGCCATTTCTGCTGGAGAGACATCAATAAACCGGAGGAAAGAAAAACAGCTTTCTTCGTTGATGCCTACATTACAGAAATACTCAAGTTAGGCCAACTCATGTCACAGACACTCAGCTGAAAACAATAAACTTACTCCCTCAATTCAAGATACACATTCTCTGACATATCATATATTGAGGTGAATAAACAGAGGATCCTAATTTAACCTGTATCTTTTAGAAATACTGGAAATTTAATCTGAATCGCTGCTGGCTGACTCCAAGTTCCAGTTAATTCTCCAGTCTGGGCAAGAGAAGGGCATTTACCAAGACAGAAAATACATTCTAGGCCAGAAAACCATGCAGCCCATAAGGACACTGATCTCACTTTGTAAGAATCGACAGGCACTGTGCACATTTGCTAATCCAACATATCTACCAGACAGCTGACCAGAACACTCATACCTCAGGATGTCTGCCTAACATGCTCCCTCTCACCCAGCCAGCTAGCCAAACAGGTTGGAAGGAGAGGTAGGAATGGATAGAGGACTGTGAGTATGGGGATAAGGATGCAATAGGTATTGTGAGGATGATGGAAACAGTGCAGTGAAGGGTGGGGAGCAGAAGAGATACCTTCTACTGTTAATGAAGAAAGCTTTTCAGGCCCACCCATGTGCACTGCATATGCCCAGTACCATTGGTACCATTTTTATTTTTTAATTTCTACACAAAAATTATATTGCCAAAATTATTTTTCTTTTGTTGTATGCCAAAAAGGGTCCCCAAGAAAAAGCCTATTATGAATACCAAAACAAGCAGGAAGCAGAATAATCAGCAAGACATACAGAAGTCAGAGTTACAGACAAGTACAGACTCCTACAGCTGCATCTGGTTCTTCATACTTGAAAAGGGTTTTGCACAACTGAATAGGGCCATGCTAACAGATTTCAGCATAGTAATGCAGCCATTCTCTCTCTTGCTTTTTTCTCCCAAAGTTTATCCCACCTCTGCAATGCAGCAATCAAATCAGCTCTCTTTAGCAAAAAAACCCCAAAACTCAATCACCTATAATAATAAATTGTATTTGTCAATATAAGCAGCTTATGTGATTGGTTTTGCTCATTGATTAGATCCTGGGTCACTTGCAACTCAACTATTTTCTACTTGAAAGAGAAGTTGGTAGTTTAACATACAATACAGAAATACATGTACAAGTACAAATACTAACAATATGTCATCAAATTCTAATCAGATTAGCTCAGAGGACTAATTGACCTGGTCTCTCAGTTCTTCCCCTTGAATGAGACACATTATAACATTACATGCAAGTGTGCAACCCAGTTTGCTTCCCAGCACTGTAAACATACCCTTCCTATGGAAGAGAGACTGCTGGATGTGGTCTGGTGCAAATGGCGAAAGTGAAACCCGTAACCACCTGAAAATGAAAGCAACAAAACCAAACAAAATCACTAAGAAACTGTTAATATACCCAATGCTCAATTACACAATCAGCAGAAAATGCAGAGTAACCATTCAGTACTTCACTGTATTTCAGCACTCTGGATAACTGGAATTGCACGGCAGTAAGAGAAAAGGCCACATGCACTATTGTTAATTTAACACTAAGACACCCTGTTGTTCTGGAATTGCATTACACACTGTAGAACACTTAGTCTCATCTTCAAATATGGCTTTCTCATCTCTGCTCTGAGCACTCCTCATAACTGAATCCACACAAAACTGATCAAGAACTGCCACAGTTCGAGAAAACAGCAAACTGCAGTCAGGCAGCTTCTATCCATCCGAAGTAAGCATTAAAAGCTGTCAAGACACTAGTAGATGCTCAAGATATACCATGTCAAAGACAGGCAGATAGTGATAGCTTCCTTAAACATGAAAACTCACTGAAGGGAAACCAGGGCATTTGGTTTTGCTTTGTTTTTTAAAGAATTCTTTTAAAGCTTAATTCTATTACACATCATCAGCAACAACTCTGAATTCCTTTTCCTGACTTTCTTATTGAAAGGGATCTTTGATACTCAGGATTCCACCAAGAATAAGAATCAGGTATCAGATGCTAAATAGCTGAACCAAAGAAAACTAGGAATGCATTGCTTAGCCAATGTAACATAACATACATCAGGTAAGGGAGTTAATTAGCACTTACAAAGCTAAAATAAGTCTTAAGTAATATTAAATATGCTAAGTTGGAGAGGAAGTGGAATAGGCTTGCCTGTCCCGTGAATGGTTAAAGACCCTGATCTGTCCATGACGGTAGATAAACTTTGAAATCTGGTATGGCTTTAGAGAGATGTGAAATGGAGACCAAGTTTCTTGTCGCTCAAACAGCTCTGGGTGATTGCACACCTATAAGAAAGAGAGCAAGTCAAACACTGGGAGGAATTAATTCAGTCAGATGCAGCACTGACATCCCAAATCAATAGAACTATTGATCACTATAGTATTGCACAGCTACTTTAAGTGTATCTACTCAAATCTTTCCCTATTCACATAACAGCTGTTGCCTCTTCTTCCTAAGTGAATAATTTCCTCGCAACCAATTTGGAACCAAACCAGTTAGCAGATGCATGCACCATTTGGCTAAAGCTCTTCCACTCCAACATCATGCTACACCGCATCAGAAACACAGTTGAACTGCATGCAAATTTGCTTACCTACGCCAGAAGTTTTTTTATATGATGTTTTCTAGAAGCCATATTTCAGTTCTGTGCTAATGAATGATTATACTTCTAAAAAACTATTATTTAAAATAGCCTTACCTTCCTGAACTGCATGACTAGATTCATGAGACTACTAGTGGTGGTCTGTGCTTGCTGAGTAGTACCCATTGAGGACTGCAAGAGGTCATCAATAGAGATTTTGTTTTTCAGGGCTTGGTACAACAGCTTCTGTCGACTTGTCTGCTGGCAGTACATAAGAATTTCAATCTGAAAAATAGTAATGAAGATTTAGCCTTTCATTTCTCTGGAATGGAGGATGACCACATCAGCACACATGAAGCAGAGAGAAACATACCTTAAGGAAAACATAACTTTCTAAAAAAATACATAAATAGGCAGTTACATTCACATCTATTTCAGGATCCAACCTGGGAAGGTTTAGGTAATGATGTAAGAGACAGACCTTTAAAAGCATGTGAGCACAACTAAGTAAACAGAGTCTGAAAAAGCTCTGAAAATGACAGATCTGCAGCTGATCGGCTTAAAATCTGACCTCAATTCTACTATCCTACTGTTAAAATGCTACCCATTTAGAGCCATCTTCAACATGTGTCAGGAGCCCATGACAGTGACAGATGCATGACATAACAGTGTCTGTGGGAAGCTCCAGCTTTGAAATTAATAAGCACATCACAACCAAGCAGATGTCTCTTAAGCAGTGGTCCCATAACCTGGGGACACACTGACTACAACATCATCCAGTATTGCTAACACCCACATGAAATTAAGAGACTAACAAGAGGAAAGAGTATGATGTTGCCACTATGCATTTCTTGCTCTGTACAGACAAGCAAAAAGAATCCTAAATCCATGCCAAATCCTTCACAAAACCAATTTGTGATGTTTATCACCCAATCATTGCTGTATCAATCTCCTTCACCTCAACTAATAATATTTCTGTCAACTTAATCAGGCTTAATGGTTTCTATTTGTAATCATTAACAAAAGGTTTTCTCTACAATAAAAGTTATTAATTAGGGGTTCTTAGTTACATTCACATCTAATGAGATTGCTGGGATGTGGTGCCAGAAACTGAAGGTCCGTGCAAGGTCTACAATCAAACTTCAGGCATGCAGACTGCCAAATGAGTTTGCAAAAACCAGATCAGAGAACAGAGCTATGACAATGACGTTGGAATACTCATTCCAGATAAATACTTTTTTCTCACCTTATCTGACAGCTCATTTTCCACATCCTTTTTGATTCTTCTCAACATGAAAGGCTTCAGGATCATGTGCAAGCGGGACAGTTGGTCTGAAATAAATGGAATGGGGAACAAGGAACAATTATTTCACCAAATGAGACAATTATATGGCATTCTACTACAAATTAAGTCCGCTACTGCTTACAGCACACGAGTCCTTACAGCACAGAGTGGTATTCCTCTGTTGGTTTTCTTTTTTTAAATGAATGCTGTGCTACACTGTTTGACTTATGAAAGATCTGCATCACAGAATGAACTTCCAAAGCATTTTTTATGTTCTATATTTCCCTGGGCTTAACAATATGGGCTTAAATTTATCACTGACTATTAGTGCAAACGAAAGTTTCTGATGAGACACAGCTAATTCACAAAAAGAGATCATTACAGTCTCACCCACCAAAATTACAGCATCACAAGAACAGGACATACTGCACTGACAGACAACTGCAGTCTTTACCATAACTTGTAAAAACAAAACCTGTGCGTATCTGAGAACTCTTAAAGCCTCCACTTTCTGACAAGTTCCAACTGTGCTGTGTTCTACTCCAATTACATATCAGCTATTTCACTTGGCTAGATTTTTTTACATAACTATCCCCTACAATTTGTTCTCAACTCCCTCTTCCCCCTTGAATTTTTATGCTTTTCTTCTGGAGCACAGAAGGTATTTAGTACTTTGTGTCAATTTTTATGTCTAGAGCTTGTAACACACTCAGAAGACCTCTAAGATTATGTGCTCAGTAACCTGCAGATACCTAAAATATTTGTTTTTCTGTGTTTGGGAAGGAGAAGGACTGGAGACAAGTAGCAAATCAACATTTTCACTGCATGTTTTTCTACTCCTTGCACATGCTACATTACAGTCAGAAACACAAACTGAAGACATAAACTATGGACAACAATCCACAACATTCCAATCCCATTAGGCACCCTCTACTTTAGACGATGTTTCTCATTCAAAAAATGAGAGATAAAGTTTAACTATTAGCAGCTGGAAAAGGTTTTTTTTACATAAAAATTACTGCAGTTATACACTGCACTCACTCTCATCAATGGCAGACTTGTTCTCTGCATGACTCTCTATGTCCTTGGAAAACCACTCATTGAACTCTTCATGGGAATCAAACAGCGTTGGCATGATAAAATGCAGCAGGGCCCACAGCTAAAAGGAGAGGAGGAAACAATAGATCAGCAAAAGTCACCCTACTGTGGGCAAGGTAACTGAGGATCCCAAACCCTTGCAGGTCTTTATGAGCAAAATCACTTTGCTAGAGCACAAGACATGGAAAAACTAAACAAAACCCCAGCTGCATCCTCTTCCTCCTCACCCTCCTGACAAATGCCAGATATATCAAGAAGACACCATTAGAAAGCAGTGAGAAACAGTCCATGGTGATTTCAGCCAAGAGAAGGAAAAGCCACAAGAATTAGATTTCATCCTGAAATCTAGGTATTACTCACCACCAGGTATCTTCAGTTTTATTTTTATTTGGATTTGTGGCACATTTCTAAATTTTCCCTTCCAGACCTGATCCCAAGTTTCTCTGGCAGTGGTTTGCCACAACCACACAAATACAACAGGTTTCTCAACTGTTCACAGATATACTTAGTATATATTCTTGTTATAAAGAGAAGTCCACTCCTGTGAGCTCCTGCATACCTCAGCCATGGTGTTCTGGATTGGTGTCCCAGTCAACAATAATCTGTTTCGACACTGGAACTGTAGTAGGATCTTCCAACGAACACTGATGAATAACATGAAGAAAGATCATTAAAAGTGCTTTTTGTAGAAGGATATGAAACAAAGTATTTTAAGACCAATTGCTTCCAGTGACCTTCCCAAATGATTTTTGGAGGTCACTGGGTAAAACGATCACAGCTACTCCCCAGTCTTTCAAAAGACAATTACAGGAAGAAGTAGCCTTTAACCAATTACATAGATACATGCATAATTTATTTTAGTTTTCTAACTGTCTTTTTGCTCATTGTTAATACAAATGTTTGGATACTAATAAAATCTCATGATCACAATAATTAACTTCCAGAAAGAAACAGTTATTATGAATCAGAATGTCATATATTTGTCAGACTTTACGACACTAAGTGTATACTGTGGCAGGAGTGCTGAGCTATAGAGTACAGTCCTCTTAGAAGGGCAGTTTCCAAAGAATGCTGAAGAGACAGACTTTGGTCAGAGTGAGTCTGCATCTAAAGCAGTCTTCAACTTAACCGTGTACACTGGCAACCTGGACAAAGGTTATGGGAAAGCAATTACAGAAGCAAAGACGGACAAATCCATTACATGAAAACTAACAGAAAACTTTCTGGCATAGAGTGTTATGACAAAGATTGGGCTTTATTGCAGCCAACAGTATTCACAGGGTTCTGACCTTCATTTGTGCCTGGAAGGGCCACTGAAGAAGGAATCAAAATAATGCAATTAATGGAGCCAACATAACCAATATATGCTAAAGACTGCGGGCTGTTCACTAGGCAGAATTCTAAGAGTAGTCGGGAAAGAAGGTGAACAGGAAGAAGCATTTCACGCTGTTTTGTTTAACTTTCCTGTACTCCACGCAAGTTTCTGCTCCACAATTACTTTTTAATTACATTTTACATATTTGGAGAAGGAAAATCTAAATGCAAAAACCTAGTGGATTAATCCAGTGTCAGAATTATACAGAGACTTAACGAGGTTAGACAAAGGGTTTTATGTGTGTGAATTGTAACTTCTATCAACTTATGGAATCTTGCTGTTTTCACAATAGTCCTTCAAGAGGCTGACATCCCCAGAGGGCACATTTTATTTTAGTTAATTTATTACCTGGAGCTACTCTTGAGTGCTTGTGCTTCATCCAGCACCATATATTGCCACTTCACTCTCTGGAAATACTTCACATCCTGTACTACCAGCTGATAACTGGTAATCACCACATGGAAAGGAGCATCCTGAGTATATAATGTCTTCTGTAACCACAAAATAAGAAACAAATGTCAACATAAGGTAAATACATTGTAAATAGTTCACTTTTGTGCACTGGTATTTCAGACTTCTCTTTCATAATCTTTTCTCATTACTGCATTTTTCCCCAGCTGATTTTTTAGATTAACTACAGCACAGTTACTCAACTGGTGGATCTGGACTTCAGCCCATTAGTCCCTGAACAATTTCAGATGCTTCTTAACGTGCCAGACAAGACCCAGGCACTGAACCCTACAAAGCTCTGTTGTTAAATCAAGAATAATCTGACAGGCCTGCAGGGATGCTAGACTTGGGCATCCTGAGTTAGGTTACTCAAATAGAATTAACAGTCCTTGACACTGAAACTTCCTGCTTTATTTAGAGAGCTCTAGCGTCTTCAACTGAACTCTATACTACCCTGAATTGTCCTGTACAGTACTTCTCTCCAGCACAAAAGAAACCTTCTGCCTCATTATCTTAATGAAAATGCTACCAGTTGGATGAAGAAACAGAACTCTGTATCCACACATTGTTTAACTGGTGGCATGTAGCAAGAGTTTCTAGTTTACTTTGAACAAATAACAAGGATGGTCAAAGTGCACAGGCATGCTGGTATTACCTGACTCCAGAACTTCCTGATCACCTTCCTGTCGTGCGGATTTCCCCAGTAAGGGAGCACCTGGAACAGTATAAAAGTAGAAAGACATTATTTCCAAATAAAGACATACTTCCTCTAGATTTTTATATGGTGTAATCTACAAAACGAGAAGACAGATCTTTTTCTCCAAACAATGAAAAGGGAATCTATCTTTCTTAACACACAGCAAAATTGGAAAGTGCTTCAAAATACTTAGAGCACTCCCAGCAAAGGCATCAAGCAATTTATGCTTAGTATAAAGACTAGATGAAGGTATGCTGAGCATCTCAAAATGCCCAGTAGAATGTTACACCTTCCAGTCAGGTTTTTCTAAGAATTAAAAATGATACTTTGCTTATGGCAGAAAAAGGTCTGCCCTAGGCTGCTACAGTTAACCCTAACAGGACTAGTGGGCTCGTTCTCCTGTTTAACATTCTCCACTGTCCTCTTGGGTTTGTATTTCAGAACTGACCCCCAAAATCTGAGATAAAACATCTGGTCTGCACATACTTAATGTAAGAATTTTAAGAAGTGCGCACTACTGCCAAAGAAATCTGTACATTCATTTAATGCTCCACATTTCATGTGTCCTATTACTCAGAACAGATCTTTGCAGCGCACGGAAACCAGTTACTGGTTAATAATATTTTACTGCCATCTTCTGTCTGATGAAAGGACTACACACAACCAAGACTGAGGAATGCTCATTTCTGAGGTTGTGAAAGCTCTTAAACCTCTCCATTGTTCAACTGACGAACTCAGAATTTCAAAGTGCCTTCTGTTGAATGTTCTTCCAATTGCACTGAAATAAGGATGCTAGTAAAAAAGCAGACTAATCAAAAAGTGATCTGCCTTTAGTTTACATATTCTGCCATGGACCCGGAGAAATTAATTCACTGTGATTTACTACAAGCATAACTGACTCCACACTTCTGAAGCAGGAGCAAAAACGGTTGAAAAAGACTGATCAAACTTTTAAATATGTATAAGTTTAGGAAACTTCTTCTTAAAGCATGTTCTGTTTGATGGATGAGGTAAACATTATGCAATAAACCCAAAAAACAGCTATATGGCAGAAAAAGAACTTTTTTTTTGGTGTCAAAAAAGGAAAAATTATCTTTTCATAACCACTCTGACTGCATTTTTTATGTTTTCTGTATTTCATTCAGGAGGAGGAGAAAGCATAAACAGTTGCTCCCCTACTCTATATGATGAACTGATTAAAGGAAATGAAAGGAAGTAAGTAGGCAAAATGACCAACTGCTCTGATGTTTTTCACTCCAAGGTTTTTAATCAGGGCCCCAATTATTTTTGGCTATGCAAATACAGAAATGGATTATTTTTAGGCTAAGATGTCAGGAGAATAAAGCAGTCTGCTTTTGAGAAAACAGAAAGAACTTTCTTGCACATGCTCCTTACCTTAAATTTAGGTACAAATCTGGCAAACTCCTGGTGCCAGTTGTTGAGAGTAGAGGCAGGTGAAATTATTAAAAAAGGTCCCCAGATGTTCTCTCTCTGGAATACACACATAAATTAAAAATAAAATTAAGTTAAAAAAATACATCCACAAATTCATTGAGGGGAAGGGTTACAAAGACAGTTTGGGCCAGCTTATACCTATTAAATGATAGTGGCTAAATAAGAGAGGAAATTTATGCAACAGCAAAACCTCCTCCAAGCACAGTAGGGTGATACAGAATCAAACAGAGCAGATCTAATGTTTAACTAAGTTTAACTGAGACCTCACTTGGAGTATTGTGTACAGGACATGGAGCTGTTGGAGCAAGTCCAGAGGAGGGCCACGAGGATGATAAGAGGACTGGAGCACCTCCCGTATGAAGACAGCCTGAGAAAGTTGGGGCTGTTCAGCCTGGAGAAGACTGCATGAAGACCTCATAGCAGCCTTCCAGTATCTGAAGGGGGCCTACAAGGATGCTGGGGAGGGACTACTCATCAGGGACTCTAGTGGTAGAACAAGGGGTAATGGCTTTAAACTTAAACAGGGGAAGTTTAGGTTAGATGTAAGGAAGAAGTTCTCCACAGTGAGGGTGGTGAGATACTGGAATGGTTGCCCAAGGAAGTTGTGAATGCTCAAGGCCAGGTTGGATGGAGTCTTGGGTGACTTGGTTTACTGCAAGGTGTCCCTGCCCATTGCAGGAGGGTTGGAACTAGATGATCTTAAGGTCCTTTCCAACCCAACCCATTCTATGATTCTATATTTCATAGCAGCAAAGTTGTTCCCACAACAATCTCCTTTGTGTCCCAGAGTTGCCACCTTCACATTACTAACAACCCCTGTCATTTCAGGGAGGAAAAGAACTTCAGGTGGCACTGGAAAGCTTTGCTCCATCACATCACATGAGAACGTCTTCTGGTGAGTAACAAAGTTGATCCATTTGCATATTGGTAGTTACAAGCTGCATTACATAAATGAGAGCCAGAAAAAGGAAAAGCCCTGTGTAGGCTTCCAAAAATCTCAGGTTGCTGTGCAACAGGGAGACGAGCCTGCCTGTTATCCCTTTCATACAGATGAGCTCCAGAGCCTTTGCCTGTGCACACCCTTCCAGTATGGTGGTTGATAGTACCAGTGAACTGGTATGAAAAGGAACATAAACAAATGCATGTAACTTGTTTGGTTGCTACTGCAGCTAAGTCTGCTCTCAGTATCACTTAGCTGACATCTCCTATTTAAGACAAGTGACTGGATGCCAATCCTTTTTTCTTTTAAATAAAGAATGTCTATTTCTGCATGAAGAATTAAGCTGCTGTTGCTTTTGCTGTTTTGTTTGTCTGCCCTGGAACAGAAGAATCACTATGTTTCCTAAAAAACCCCACTGAAATATGGAACCACACCGCCATGAAGGTCAGAATTTGGGCTTCATTTCTAGATGGCTCTCTGACTTGTAAAACTTGGTGAACCATGAAGTGTACAACCTGTTCCCTCATCAGGCTTTCACACTAAGTGTAAGTGAAAAGATACTACTCTGTGAATAAATGAAAATTCTATTTTAATTTATATTTTTAATGTATGTGGGTTTATATATCTATATATAAAATACACGCATATACACCCCCCAACCACCACCAATTTCAAAGGGTCCACTTTAAAACAAAGGGGTTTGCCCTTCTGAGACATTTAAGCTTTATAATCTAGAACTCACTGCCAACTGTTAAAAGTATGCATCTTGCATCAGGAATAAGCTACAATCCACTTACCTCAGCCAAATGTGCAAGGAGAGCAATACTTTGTACTGTTTTACCCAGACCCATCTCATCTGCCAGGATTCCATTGATGCCCTGCAAAAGAACCATAAATGAACACCTTCACCTTTCTAAACTTCTTTTTACTTATTTCCTAACTAATCAAGAACACTGATAATGTCGCTTACATTGTATTTTCCTTTCTTCTAAAGACATTACAGACTGAGTATACGGGGTCTACTTTTAAACCCAGTAAATCTTTTTAACCAAGTTTACTCTAATGACTAATAATCCTAAGAGTGTAAAACATGTGCAAGATGTACTAAGATACCTGCTCATACAGGTTGGCCAGCCAATTCATGCCTTTCAGTTGGTAACCTTTCAGTTTTCCATTGAAAATGGTAGGCTGTGGAATATCTTCTCCTGCTCGGATAGATGGGTTTGCTAAACTGTAGCTCTCTCCAAAGCCAGTACCGGATTTGTTAGCAGCCCGTAAAGCAGCTGCCCGACTCTCCTTTGCATCTTCATCAAATGATCTGGTCTAAATAGCAGGAGGAAAGCGTGCATAAGATGATTAACATATTATCTTGTCAAGAAACTGTGTAGTAAAAGGCTTTACGTTTCACATCAAGAATAGAATGTCTGCCAGAAACTAAGAGAAAATAAGCCTGTTCCTAAAGCCCAAATATTTGTATTCTGGGTTTCTGCCTATTTAGCACAGAAAATGGCAAAGGAATTAAATCTGGCACCCAGGATTCAACTTGACTTGGCTGCTATGAAAGATCCTGGTTCTGTGGCCACTACCAATTACTCTGCTTTCTCTTCTACTTCATGATCCAAGAAATACATACCCGGGCCTGATGAATCTGGTAAGCATCCTCAGCATTCTTCAGAGCTTGAGCCTTGTAATAGTTACTGTCTGAAAACAACATCTCCAAGTTAGAGCTCTGCAGCAACAGCCTCCCAAATTAACATAGAGATAAATTCCAGTAATTATAGTAGCGCTTTTTACCCAGAAGGATTTTGTGCTTGAAACTGTAAATTTGTACAATCATGTGGGGAGTACAACAAATTTCAAAAGAAAGCACAGGAAATACTGTAGATGAATCACTTACCATAATCTTCTTGGGTGATGTTGACCACTACTCCTCCACCAATATCAATCTGCCTTTGGGTAGAGCTGTCTTCCAGTTTGCGTAGGATTTCCTCCTGTATTCCATCATGTCCAATATCTCGTTTACGACTCATAAAGTGGGCATATAATTCAGTTTGTGTGATCAGGAAGTTAAGTTTTCGCTGCTGTCTCTTAGCCTAAGAGAAGAATCACAGAATCACAGGTTTGGGTTGGAAAGGACCTTAAGATCATCTAGTTCCAACCCCCTGCCATGGGCAGGGACACCTCACACTAGACCATGTCGCCCAAGGCTCTGTGCAGCCTGGCCTTGGACACTGCCAGGGATGAAGCATTTACCACTTCTCTGGGCATCCTGTTCCAGTGCCCCACCACCCTCACAGTAAAAATCTTCTCGTTGCACATAAGAACACTGACAACCACCATAAACATCTATATTAAAATATAAAATTGTTGTAAAGTAAAAGTTCTTCTGAATTCAGTAATCATGGCAAACACCACCATAATTTAATAAAGAAAGTTTAAAAGATGTGTTCACATTGAAAAATTAAAAGATTGACAAAAATACACAGGATTTTAGCAGTTCACAGTGAAAAAACTGAACAGTTAAAAAAATGCTGTCATGAGAACCTAACTCCAACACTCTGTTATTTACTAGTAAAGAGAATTCTGGTAGAATACATGAAATACATCACTAAGTAATACAGTTCAGATATTACCCTTGTTCTGCATTCAGCAAGACACAGGAACTGTTCATTCTTAGGTTCTGATTAAAAAACGCTACAGTTAGAAGTTGTCTATTAATGTAGGTCAGCTCCATCTCACTCACTTGTAAAGAATTTACACAGTTTGAAGGCTTTTTTTTACCATCCCTTGCTAACATTAGAAGAATTACAAGTTTTAAGACAGCAGGAGAAATATGTGGAATACCACTGAAACAGAACAAGTAACTGAAATTCACTGTCTCCTCAACAGATTAATTATCAGCAATCTGTGGGTTTGCTGTACCTCTCTCATCTCCTCATCCAGCTTGCGTTGCTCCAGAGCCTCTTTCTCAGCTCGTTTGCGATGTTCTTTTTCCACCTTTTCATACTTTTTCCAGTAGAGAAGCATCTCCTTGGTAAGACGACGTGCCCGTGGTAGAGTTTCCTTACAGTTTTTCTGGGCCTGGATAGCAGCTCGACGTACCTCCCTCATGCACTGATGGGCAAGCTAGAGAGAAATAACATTTTTTGAAACAGTGGTAAAATGGACAGCTTTTAAAGAAAGCCCCCAATAAACAACACCAAATTTAATTATAACCAAGTCTGGTCCTTCAGAAGAGAAAAACCTGTGATACTTTACTCAGCAGTAATGCTTCTGAAATGACATGAGAGAAAATGAACTTCCAAAAACCTCCCGAGATGGTGGAGAAGACAAGACCTGAAGACAGTCTCAGCATGGTGTGATACTTAAAAGGATTGATCTGGTGGGTAGGTCCTTGAAAGGGACCCAAGAGAGAGTTCAAGGCCTGCCTGCAACTCTGACTCAGCTATTCTAGACACTTCTGTGGTTCATTCCTCACTGTTCTAATAAGGCTGCTGCAGTCTTGGTAGAACACAATCCCAGTCATCTTAATACACTGAAAAATAGGGGAGTATCTTACATTTTTCCCACAATCTCATGAAGAAGCATAATACATTGTAATTTTTCGTCCTAGTATAAGTCAATCAATGTGTTGTCATAACGGTCAAAATTTTTTGGTTTGTGACAGGGTTTTTGTTTCCTCCACTAAAATTTGCACATCACCAATTCTAACACACAGGTTTCAAATAATCAAACAAAATGAAAACGAAGAAAAGTAGAATTTCAAAGCCTCTAAGTCTGCTGCATCACTCACTTGCTAAAATGCATTTGTGATACCTACAAATATAATAATCACAGGCTATTTGCCCAGACATCGCAAAGAGATCCAGGCTCTGCTAGCAAAGGAGGCCCACAGGAGAGAACCTACCCACAGCAAAGGTTCTTAAATATATACATGCAGGTCCTGTTTTCTGCATCCCTTACACAGAAAATGCTCCCTTTTTCCATTTTGTATATACATTATCAAAATTTCCTACATCTCTGATGACTCTCAGTCACATATTTGATTACCTTTTCATTAGCCATATAAATGAATCAGACACTTGAGCATAACACTTGAAAAATGCTCTGAAAGCCATTACCTAAAGGAAAGTCTTCTAGGTAGAAACAATGACACTTTGCAGAGAAGACTGACGAGGAATTAGATGAATTCCTTCTGCGATCACTTAAGCACAAAATTGTTCTATTTTTAATCTCAGCTCCTATGTATCTTTATGTAAATTAACACATTTAATATTCCAAGAACCCCTTTGATTTAACCAAGAATGCTTAAACCAGCAAATTCTAGCTAGGGGATAGATGGGCAGTTCAAAAGCCAACAGAGTGTACCAAAAATCATTAATTTATTGTATCAAAGATCAGCAAATTAAAATAGTACAAACCAAATCTTACGAAAGCAAAATGAAAATCTCATGAAAGAAATTCCTGTTGCTTGTTTCATCTGTTGCTTATGAAACGTGCCAACACATCTAAAAAATGAAAAGCCTTACACTAAATGACATACAGTGCTTTCTCCTATGCTGCCCTGCTAGTATACTCAGTATTGGAAGAAACAAAAGAAACACAAAGAGGTTACAGTTTGCTTACTACATCCAGTACAAGTAACAGTATAAAGCTAAACAACACTTACCTTTTTGCTGTTGGTTAGGAAAAGGTTGCGGGCTGAGGCTTTTTGTTTGTATGCCTGTAGAAAAATACCATCTTAAAATCAGTTAAAGGGCAATGGCTTCACAGTGTTTTAAAAGATCACTAGGCAGACCTCAGCAGATACATGTGCCAACTTCAGCCATGCACACTACTATAACTGGGTACAGGTATTGTAAGTATTTTTTATTTGATTGAGACAGCTTTTCATCCTTCTGTATTCTAACTCCTGAAGGAAGCATGTAAAACATCTCCTTTTTCAGGATTGCTCCTTTAATTACTAGTATTGCAAAGTAGGGTTCTCCTTTTCCACAGTTATCACTGAAGTGAACAACAAAAATTTCCACTGTTTCCCAAATATGTTTAGAATTAATGCAGATCTTATGTTCCTTACATGATCAAAATCAGTGTTTTGAAAAAATAAGGTCTATCATGCTGCACATATCCTTTGCCTGGCTTCATAAAGGATGATACAGCCATCACTCATATTCAACTTCCTCAAAGTCTGTCAATGTGAACTCCAAAAAGCAGGTTCTAAGGTCCACTCTGATCACATCTCAGAAAACCAGTGACAGTGAACCCAGCTTTCTACTTCAAATGTGCCTAAGCCTCCTTCTGTAAATGATACAAATGCTTTTCCATGGACTGTTTCTGAAGTAAGTTTCAAAAAACACACGTGCTACTATGATTGAAACACTCCTTTCCTGAACTTCATGTAAAACCTAGATACTGGTTTGCTCTGCACTGCTATCCTGTAGACCAGTAGGAGTACCTGCTTGAGTTTACTGTGCTTTTCATAGAAAAGGGTTGAACAGCCAAATGACAGCTGCAGCAAAGCACTGTGTGATCCACTTAAATACCACTGGAGCTAAGAAATTTGAACTACACTTTGCTTACAGATTACAGAGTATCAGATTGGTCATTAAAGACCACCAGAAAAATCAGGTCTTATTTCACCCTGTTTTTCCAAGTGTCAAATCCCCACTAAGCTAATTTTCTTTTCACTGTCTTGCTGTCATCACTGATCTAGTGCCATCAGCTACGCTCACCTTTGGCAACTCCTTTTTAACGATGCTAAGCCACACTTTCCGCCGACGTGCGTTAAGTTGCTCAATACTCAAATGCTTTTTCTTGGACCCAGGTGGTGGTGTATCTTGAGAAAACTTGGCAAAAACTTTGGTCTGGTGATGGTGGCATCGTGGTGACTCCTCTGAAGAGAGTTCTTCATCCCGTCTCCTCTTTTTCTTTACTTTTTTCAACTTGCCTGCATGGCAACAACGGACATAAAATTAGATTTCTTTTTCTGTTTTGGGATACACTTAGTAAAGTATCCTTCCTGAATAAACTATTTTAGCCAATTTATGCAAGGAACGGACAAAAGAGGCAAACTGTGTCTGCTAACACTGGTTGCATCAATTTATCATATTAGACATTTTCTCATTACTTTATAATGGAATTATCTTCCTGTTTAATAAATAAAGTGGTGAAATGCAATTTTTCCACCCAGGAAAATACGCTTTAGGAGTTAAAACGTCTGGGGCCTGATGCAGTGTTCTTGCTTTGAGGTTAAATTGTACTTAAAGACATGTAGAGGTCAGCCATTTAAAGGTGGCATTAGCATTTGGTAGGATAAGTCTCAAACTGAACTTCTCAGCAGGTGAAAGAGATTGGGATGTTGTCGTGTATTACAGATACCAGCTTTCAGAGGAAACTGATACTGGTATCAGATACTAAAAATATCCTTTGTGAGTATGCAAAGTCATTGATGCTGCAAGATTAGTTCAGGAAAAAAATCCCCACAAAGTTAAAGGAACTTGAAGAAAGATAGGAAGGAAGGAAGCCTAAAATAGTCCCATAAAAACACAGCTCAAACTGAAGTACTTGCACTAGAGAGAATTCACCTTATGCTGACAGTTCATAGCCTTCTCTTCCTGCTTCCTTACAGATTTACAGCTGCTGCCAGCTCAATCAAGAAAGGAAACTGTACTTCTCGGCAAACATGCAACTGAGAAGCTCCAGCTGAGAAGTTACAGAAGTAATTCTATTGTAACTCACACTGGTCACCAATTCCAAGTTCCCTCTAATTTCCAGAAAACACTCTCACTCCCTATTGTTTCTTGCTCACTAGAATTACATATTCAGGAATAACTGCAGCAGGTACTTGTTAAGTTCTTACATTTTCAAGGAATTATCATGTTTTCAAACAACTCTGAGTAAATGGACAATGCTACACAATGGTCCTTAGGGATTCCTAAGCCGTGAGTAAAGCAATAAGGTACTTAATGCATATCTCCTTCATTCTAGATTCAGAGGTCCACAAAAGAAATCTAAAGCTGTGAACTCTCAATTCACACTCCTTTTTCTCTCCCTAGCTTTCTAGAAGCCAGAAGAAAAAGCACAGTATTTTCTATTTTCTTTGATAAAACTGGATGTTTCCATGCAAAACCCAAAAGTTTTGAACGTTTATGTTTATTCAAAGGAAATAATGTAGTAAAGAAGTTTGATCACAGCAGTCATTTAAAAACACAAGGTAAGTGACTTCACCTTTTAATTTTTTCTCTTCTTTAAACTTCTTTTTCTTGGGCCCTAGCAGGTGGCGCTGCTGCTCATAGTAAGGATCGTGTGTAGACAGCAGTCCTGCACTGTAGTACTGGTATTGCTGCAACTGAAGTGGATGTAAATGAGCACAGTAATGGAAAACAGACACAGCAGATAACAAAGCAGGTAAACAAGTTCAGATCTTGATAGTATATAAGAGATCAGAAAACATGCACCTCTCCATATTCAGCATCGTTATCAAGGATCATACGGTGTCCTAGGTGAAACTACTTCCAGAGGTGGCCTCCAAGTTCTACACAGGGAGCCAAGCCCACCCAGTTAAGTAAAATGAGAAGAGCAGGCAGTGAATCTTACGCTTTCCAAACATACTGCTCTTCCTCTTCCATAGCGGTGCTGCCCAGCAAGACAGCACATTACATGAAGTGGTCCAATTATGGACCTCCTATTTGTTCTGCCTGCATTCCCAAATTACATATGCATTCTGCTTTACCATTCCAAAGAACAGGTTTAGATAAAAAATCTTTTATTTAAAAGATTTCCACAATGACAAACAACTTCAATGTTCAGGTTGTCAAGTAAAAATATAGTTGCCCCAGCACTTTTTCCCCAAATTATTAGAAAAGTCAGGATATCACAAGCATTATTCAACTAAAATATTAAAGCCAAAAAAAAAAAGCCAAATTTATCGAACTTATCAAAGCCAAACTATACACAGGTTACATACAAACAGGCAAACTAAAGAGAGTACAGGTTAGAAAGTGACCTTTTAAAACCTAAGCATGCCATTAAGTTAATAAAAGAAGCTAACACAATCTGGGTTTAGAACTTAGCAAGCAAGCAAAGGAAAGAAGTGCACAGAAACAAAGACCTGGATGGGAAAATATTTCTTTACTCTTCTGGAGGAATTTCAAAAGAATATGAAACAAGATGACAATCTTTTATTTCAGACACATCCTCTTAGGAGGACTTCCTCCATCTGAGACTACTTTCTGATGCAATTCAAAACAGCAATGAAAATGATTTCTGCAGAAGTCCTTACAATTTGAAGAAATATACTACTAGAATCAAAAGTGTCATAGAATTTGGCCTAATATTAAGAAAAAGACAGAAATGTGGCAGATTATTTTCTTACAAGAAGGAAAAAAAAAAGAATATAAGAAGGAAATCCAAAAAAAAAAAGGTAAGAAAGAAAAAAAGTCAAGTAAAATCCCAAAGAATGATAGAAAACAAGAAGAAAGATAGTCCCTAGGTTTCTTCCAAGAGTGTAAACATCACCTTACTACTCATCACCTCAACAATGATCCAAGTATGTTGCTTTAGGTTTAAATATACAATTTTAGTCTTAAACAGCAGCTACTACCTGTATTAGAACCCATAGCACTTCACTTTTCATATATGTTATCCAGATCTTGCATTCTAGCACCCTGTATTTGATCTACTGTCTGGAACACAGCACTATGGAAGCTACATATAATACATGTGCCAGTGCCAGCTACGTAAATTGACAGATTCTCAGCATAAGGCATCAACAGCCTTTCAGTCTATGTAATTAAGTAACACTTGTCTGAAACTGATGGTAGATTGTTCTAGTCTACTAAACAACAGGATGTTTTCCAATCCACAAAATACTATGGGTTTTGATAAAAAGGTAAGAGCAGTTAAAATAATGCAGTTAAAGGAGAGAATAAAAATCAAGGAAGTTAAAAAATTCTGGATTTTTACCTCTTTGTCTTTGCTGTATTTACTTTGATGCAGTTTCTTATATTTGTGTAATCTCAGCATATCATGAAGTTCCTCCCTTGAAAGGGAAAATTCTTCATCCTCCTCACCATCCTCATCACTCAGTGAATCTGTGTCACTGGAGTCATCACTCAGAAGGATACTCTAACAAGAATAAATGGAAACTAATTTAATAATTTCAAGTCCCTATAGTGAATTGTTTGTTAAGCAAAACACTCTTGAGCCTTTACCTAATAAAAGGCTGCAGGTCTGGCCCAACAACAATACTTAGCATTTACAAAGTGTCTTCCATCTGAAACGCCTCAAACGGAAACCAGTTTTCTGAGGTACAGCCCTGCGTAGCTATGAATCTAACATAGATTGTCTGACTTGTGGGGAGTTTTCTGTTAGTTTGGTGACAGTTATGTGATTTTAGAATCTACTCTGTGGTCTCAGAAAAGCAGCAGTGAGAAAAGCCATGATACCAGTAGGGGCATTTGGTGATGCATGGTTGCAGGTGCTTTCCTACCCCATTTGTAGCTTGTCCTGCTATCCTACCACTTCCCACCTGCATCAGTTGCAACAGATTTGGCTCTTGTCTGACCTCTTGGCAACCTGCTTTTGCTAAATAAAGAAGGCTACAGTACAGTGAAAAAGCAAAGATAGCATAAAGCCATCATTCCACACTCTCCTTCCATCCTCATTAGGACCTTGTATTGAGTTAATCTTAGACCCAAATTTTCAGCCAAGTCCCAAAGTCCATTTAATATATTTCATAATAGATCATTTTAATTTGGAGAGTGTACTAATATTACTTCAAGTTCCTGAATGTATACTCATTGTGAAACTTAACTACAATGCTGCTGCTCACCCAAATTGAAATGCCTACTCTCCATTTCACTACATGATGGAAATGAAAGCTTCAAATCTACAGAGACTGTATTTCTACTTTGCTCTATCCAAAATCTAATGATATTTATTATCAACTGTCACATACTCTTCTTCCTTTCCATTTCCAAGATAAGAAGCCTCTACAGAAGTTTTTTTTTGCTTTGGTGTTTTTTTCTTAATGTAAAAAAACCAAAGCCCAAACCCCTCCCCCCCCCAAATCCACATGTCTTTCTTCTTAGCAAGGGACACTGGCTCTAGTTACCTCCAAAAAAAACTAAGAGCACCAAACAAGCAGCTGATACAGAACAAGAATAGAGAACTCATTTGGAGCCCTGTTTTCAGCAACACAAAGTAATACCACATCTTTTTATCACCTTATGACTCTTTCACTGTGAGATTTTGCATCAATTAACTTGCATCACAGGGATTAGGGCAGCTCTTAAAGCACATTAGTCTAGCTTTCTGATGTCTCGGTAGGACATGTAAAATAAAATTAAATGGACTACTGAGATAAGAACAAACTTACTGTATTTGAAAAATTAATCTGTGATAATGTACTGACTAGTGCTCCACTTATATTCTTGTTGCTGTTTGCTTGCTTACATGTTTCTACACCATGACCTACATTAGATGACAAAATGGAATTACTTATCACTGTCTGCAGGGTGTTGACTGGAACTCTACTCACAGATTTCGTAACAGCGGCATTTCTCTCCAGTATTCTTACCTTCAGCCACTTTCTGCTTTTCTTCAGTTTGGAAAAGTTATACAAGCTTCCTTTTTCAGACTTTGGTTCTGTTTAGAGAAAAAATGAAATGAAAGTTCTTAAGAAATAATGCCTTTCCCAGGTTACCCCAAGGAAAACAGAGATTCAACCTAGTGCGTGCATACCTGGCTGCAGCACTCCATTCAGGGAATGTGTGTTCAGCAGCCCAGAATTCCCTGCTCCAGAAGACTCCCCAAGCAACGAGTTTGAAGGCTCTTCCTTAATTTGCATCATTGGATCCCCAGACTGAGGCAGCAAAGGATTGTCATCCAATCCATCTTCACTTTCATCGCTGCAAGAAGATAGGTAGTATGGTGACAAAGAAAGGAAAATACACAAGAGACACCCATGCAACTTTCTTACATGTGGCCATTTTTCTAAAGATTTGAGAATTGAGGCAGCTTCAGATCTGATTTTACACATTAGAAATATTGCTAGTAATAATTTTCTGTTAACCCTTCAGCAGTAATCATCAGACCAGCCTGTCTATGCTACTAACCTGCACCTTCAGTCTTTAACTAGGTATCTACATTGAGAAGCATGAACTAAGTGAGAAACGAATGTCAAGTCAAACCAAAGCAAAAAATTGTCATACTCAACACCACTGTACATGTGAGGAATATAAAGCTAGACTTTTCTATTCCTATTCTATTCCTATTCTATTACATGCTTGTAAATACATCTTTTATGTATTACCCATACAGTTACCAGTTCTAAACTCTATAGTTCCAAAACACTGATGAAATTAAGTGTAAATTGTTCTGGGACAAGAAACACACCTGGATGACTCACTTCGCATTGCTATAACTTGCTTACATATTAATTCTACACCTGACAACAATCTCTGCATTTCACTTATGGCTACAGGCCATGTCTTTCAAAAATCAACCTCGTACTTCTCCATCCTACTTTTTGCAGACAAAAAAAGTTTTGGCCACTCAGCTATAAAAGAGAGCTTTAAAACATCATGCTGATTTGTACGCAAGCTGGCAATACACTGAATTATCAATGCAAGCTAAGAGAAGCACAGTCCAAAATCATTACAGAAGAGTGTGTAAAGAACAAATCAGTACTAAATCCTTGATATGATGTTGTATGGAAACAATACCATAAAAATATTTCTTTTCATGGTATTCCGAAGGGAAAATGGAAAAGATCTTGGTACCTGGATATACTTCTGTTAAAGATGGCAGATGTCTGTCGTAAAAACTGATCCAGTTGCAGAGCTTTCTCCAGATACTGCAGATAAAGAGGTTTTGCCAGCTCTGAGCAGCTGCCATCCTCCCTGGCACCCAGCTCCGAGGCCATAGAACAAACTTCTCCTCATGCACAAGTACCTCTGAACACACAGCTGTTAAGAAGAAACAAGGATCATCACCACCACCTCCTGCTCCAAAAGGCACAAATTTGGTGAGCACGCAAATCTACTGCACACTACACCAAATGCTAGTAACTTCACAGAACACGTAACTGAGGTGATTCTGGGCAAAAAGTGTAGGTTGCTGTTAATAAGTATATTAAACAGAAATTCACACTAAACTTTCCACCACAGTGTTACCACAGCCAAAACCTAGATTATTAGTTTTCTGGTTTATGTCTTCATGGATGCTGTCTGACAGGAATGAGCACTGCACTGACCTAGCATGAGCAATCCAAGTGACATGGCAATGCAATGGACAAGGAAGCCAGCCCTTGAACATCCAAAGTAAACTTTTATCACTACTAAAGATAACACGTTTCACTCTGAACAGAGGGCAGCAGCATAACATGGAAGTAGAATGAAAGCAAATCAATTATTATTCTTAAGTTGAATCATATATATAACCTTACTCCAAAAAGGAAGAACTACTGAAAATAATGTTCTTCCACTGTTTTTACCATTCAGTTCATAGCTGTAGTCTACAAAACACCAGTAGGACTTTTCCTTTATTTTAAAGCAATGGTACTCTCGGAGCACTCAAAACTGTTACCTGCTGACAAACAAGCTACAAATGCTTGACCAAAACTCCCTTAATTCTAAAATTCAACTGTTATCTTTATTACAGAAAAAGTAACATATAATTAGCAATTTATTACACACTTTTTACGTTTACAAATTTAGAATATATTCTGGCTTTATGTTTCTTTCAACTAGCAAAAATAACCTGCCTGATTTTTATTTTTCCTTTGTTTTCAGGATTTTATATCCTTAAAAAAAAAAGAGACACATCCCCTCTGCAATATTTGCATAATACATACTTTAAGAACAAGGCTATCAAAACATTTTATTGCTCTGTGAACTGCAGTTTTATTTTCTTTCAACTACAAAAAATGTCGTAACAACTGTTACAGTAATAGCACTGTCAATGGGAATTTTATTATCTTCAATCACAAAAGATGCTGTAATTGTCATAATAGTGAGAAAGATCATTTTAAATTCTTTCCAAAGTCACAGTTGTTACCATATAAATGAAACTGCTGTCAATACCCTAAATATTATAATATTTACTAATAAATAAATGCCTTAAGCTTTTTCTTCTGGTGGAGGACAAGAACAAAAGCAGCCAGCTTTTTAAAGGTTTGGATTAATTGTTCTTCTGAAGGATTCTTCTGGTTTCTAATGACTCTGAAGCAAATATCATGTTAATTTACTGTGAAACATTCCATATTTCAACAATTATTAAGTTGTTAATGTCTAAATTGTTTTAACTCATGTAAGTGGAAACACAGGTTGCGTATCCGGCCTTCAAACTGTTCGCTCTTCACGTGTACAGTCCGAAAACCAGCATCTGATTTTTCCCAAGTCTTTTATCCTCCAAGATTACAGAACAGATTAAGAATTTACACAGTTACAAAACCTGTGGTAAGTGATACCAGCTCGAGACTTTTGGCTGTGGCTGAACAAGAGCAAATCTTAGTATTTAATAAACACCCAGCCTTAACATCTTCACCCATACAGAATAAACCAACGTGCCAGAAACTGTTAAAGGGACAACAGCACTCATTGAAATATTGTTTTTAAACTGAAGCTGTGTATGCTCAGCTTTCTAAATGTTAGATAGATCTTTGTACACCTGACAGTAATGGCACGGTTGACCTCTGTTAGCAAATACCCACTTCCAGCAGAAGGTAAGAGAGAACAAAGCACCTGAAAGCTTTCCCTATGATATCAAGACTAATGTTTTCCAGAAACTTTCATCTACCTACAGCATATTTCTTAACAGCCATGTGGAAAAAAAACAAACAACCCCAAACCCACCCTAAACTGTCCTCCAAGAGACAGGGCCACGAAGAAAGTAAAGAGGTTAGAAAACATGAAACTTGTGTCTCTGATGGAAATCATTCAAGAGGAGATAGAAAAGGACACCCAGAAGGTGAAAGTGACTTTCCTTCAGAATGTCAACGAAAATGATACATATTATAAGCACAGGAATCAATCCCTGGTATCACATCAGTTCAGTGACCTCTTTTACCACTCCATTTCAAAGCGTATCTGTCAACAAGAGCACGTGTTATGTTAACATGGTGTTATTTTACTTTCCCAGCCAAAATGTCACGTGCAACCATTGTTTAATGGTTTTACTCAGAAACACAAGGCACCTTTCACCTGTCTGCTCTTTGCAGAAAATCTCCTTCCCAAAACTCAACATTTAGTGGCACTGTCTGTCCTCAGGGCACTGCAGGAAAGAAACATGCCCCAAGGGGCACCGCTTCAAGCACACAGGACCTTATTTGGATTCAACAGACCAGATGTACTCTTTTGCCCCCCCCCCCCCCCCCCAGTGATCCTTGCCTTTACAAAACTATGTAAGCTTAACAGCAAAATAAAGGGAAAGAATTACAATAGATTTGAGGTCAAGTTTTTAATTGCAGGACAGCACACGGGCCAGAGACAAAACAGACACAATCATATTCCTGAGTAACCAAATGCTTTTCCAGCTGCCCAGACACGTTTGCCTAAGTGCTGGTCTACACAGGTCCACCAGTCTGCTGTATCAATGCCCCTGCTCCGCACAGGCAATGGTGCTCATCTGGCTCCACGCTCATACAGCTTAGGAGATAACCCTAGCAGAAGATTATTTCTTTACTCATGAGATATAACTGATCCTAGGAAAAGAAGATGCTATCAGACGTGTCTAGTAATTAGAAAACTAAGATATTTTCTCAGGAGTGGCTCATTGCTACTGCACAGAGTTCCCAGCCAAATAATGAAAGCAAGGGAGAACACACCCTGTCTGCAATGACTGCAGTAACTGGTTTCGTTCCGTATCTTAACACATTAAATCCCCTCATTGTGTACACTGTGCTAAGCGTGGACATGTAGTACGTGGTATATGCTAAGTACCTGTCTCATCCATCATTTTTTCAGATACCTATGTTCTTAACTATTACTTCCCATATCAGGAAACCTTACACTTCCACATTTAATAACATCCTCCTTGTGCTGATGCAGTGTAAGTACTCTGCATCTGACCCTCAGAAAAAGACATGCTTTTGCTTGTCTTCCTACTTTAACTGTCCCATGAGGCTGCTGTACGTACAAAGTTAATTATTCTTGTCCTCAAAACAGTTACTCCTCTCTATATTCCGCCTACCGAATAAACAAATAATCACAGAAGAGCTTAACAATATTCTTAAATGGATTAACAATGCCCTAAACAAATTTAATATGTTACACAGGCATACTGAAGAGAGAATAGCTCAGCCACTGAATTCAGCCTTTCATTTATTTATATGCAAACAGTCACACAGGGCTTCTCTGCTCATCAAAGTAGTAACACGGGAAGGTAATTGACAGGTACTTCTTTAGTTCTTTTAGTTCTTTTGTTCTTATTGTAGGTTTTAAGAAACAAAGATTTCCAGTGGCAAAAAACTGCTTGAATAGTGAAGCAAGAGAAGATGGGAACAAACAAGCCAGAGGCACACGACAGCCTGATTCACTACAGTAGGTAACAGCGTTCAGGACATCACCAAGGCAGTGCTTGAGTAGATTTACATGGTGATTACATTCATTCCTCTTTTCTTTGCCATTTGTGCAATGAATGCACACTCAGTGTAAGGAATATTGCAGAAATAAAGATTTTCAAAATGTTTTCATTGCTGAAGGTAACATTTGGGTAAATACTTGTATGTTATAGGTAGTAAAGTGACTGGATGCTGCAGAGTAATCCTTCTGCCATCACAACTCCCTTATTGACATACACCAATTTTATGTCACGTTTCAGTAACAAATTCAGCAGTTATTTGCTTTCTCCCTTCATCTCGCCAAGAGTTGTAACACTTTAGAAAATCAGCATTTGGAAATAAATAGTTGCTGCACTGCCTGGCTGGCAGGTTGAATCCTCTAACATTCTTATTTTATCAGTAGCTCACACTGAAACCATTTTGTTGTATCATGTGGCCCTTTGAATTATTAAAAGCACAGGTAAAATATCAGCAGGATCTGAGTTTACTTATATATATACACCAACTTAATACAAATAACTTCCATAATAATATATATACATCTTTAAAGATGTAAGTTCAGTTCTGAAGAAGCCTTCCTTACTCTGTTTTATTCAATTTTTTATTAAATTAATTCAATGTTAATGTAGGTGCAGGGTTTCTTCACTCACTCTGTTTTCTCAAGTCTGCCACTTATAGTCTAGCCAGTAAGTAAACAGCCAGCACTGGAGAAGAATCCTCCAAGGACGTCCCTCAGAGCAGGGTTTTTATAACAAGGTTTCCAAGTTTCATACCGATCGACCTGCACCAAGCTAACAGCAAAACCACCACTCTCATGAAGCAGCCTAGCTTTCAAAGTAAGTTTTCCCAGTTTAAACAAATATCTAGTGGCTATTCCTGAATGAAGCCTAATAAGTTTTTGCTACTGATACCAATCTAAAGGAGAAGCCCCACAAGTGGCAAGTGCACGATTCAGCACTTGTGCCTAGCTGCAAGCTAGAAAGGATCTCTTGTATGACTGCTTGAAATAGTACTTTTTTCTCCAGAAGTCTCTTGTTTTTCTTTTTTTTCCCTTCAATTGCTGGTATCTCTACAGGTCAGGTAAGGCCCTTCTCTTTATGACTAACATCAAACATGACTGTAAATAATGGTAACAACTGCACTCCTAGCTGAGGGCACGTGCACAAACACAAGCTGCCATGAAGGCAAAAGGTCCAACACAGCAGCTAATCCATAATACTTTTTCTCAGGTATGTACCTATGACAAACATGAGGCAAATCAGGGAGGTAAAACTAACTCAGTCTCACCTGTCACACATGAAGTGAATGTATATGAAGTGTTACCAGCTGGCAGGTGAGCACACTTATTTGTCCAAATGCTTCAGCCCACAAAAGCCATCTCCCACCTCTCCCCCATCCAGCGTGTTTAA